TTGTTCTCGACTTTCTTGCAGGCTGAAAGGACACTCGTGGTCTGTTCTGCAGATCTTCAGTCCTCCCACGCCGGTGCTGACTCATTGAGCTGAGCTGGGGCATGGAGTAGCAATGCCATCTGTCAGTGTAAAACATAACAGTGTGCATCCCACCCTGTTGCTAACCAGTTCCTCTGGCCTGTTGTCCTCAGTGAAGTGGATCGGAGTGGGGCAGTCACGGGAGTCGATGGTCCAGCTGTTCTGAAGACTGGGACGGAGACGCACTCCCCGGACCTGGCTCGCAGTCGGTGACGGCGGCGCACGACCAGCGGACCCCGCCGGGTCAGAGGCACGCAGGCCTGGCAGCATGTCGCCATTCGCCAGTGTTGGGACTTCTTAGTTTTCAGCAGCAGCATCATCGATCACCAACTACGTTCTACAGGCACTCGATCCAAGTGTGCCTGCAGCAGCGTACCTGTTTTCACACATAGACGCGTCTTTTCAACATCACCTGATGGGTAACCGAGCGGGATTGGGCTGGAGGGTTTCTCTGGGGTGCCTGAAATAAGACTCCGGTTGCACTGCAGTTTGGGCCTGATCAAGTGTGCTGAGCTAGCTCCTCTTTACCTTAAGTGAAGTGCATTGATAGGCACGGAGCAAAGCTATATATGTAGCTGCTTTTCTGCACCTTCAGTAAAATTCACGTCAGGCCCTTGAGCTGCTGTATCAAACTGCTGTGCAGTGTTTCTTATTTCCACCCCTCTGTAGCAGACACCAGGTCACTCTAAATGGAGTTCCGTTCCAGGGTGGGACTGCCAGTGATCACACCAGTACAGACGCCCTCCGCTTGCCGGAATCAATTCGGTGCTCCGAGCTGAGCTTGCTGAAGTGGCGGCTCGCAGGAGCAGGGCCCCCCGGCAGCCTCTCAGTAATGGTGTCTGTTTCTCATCGGGCGGCGCGCCTTTGTGTCGCCGCCGTCCGTCCCCTCTCTCGGCAGACAGACGAGAGCTTCAGCAGCGCTCACGATGGGTGCGGTGTTTGGTGCCCGCACTTCCCGTTTTCCCAAACGGAGAGCCCTCCCCAGAAATCGCTGTGCACCCAGGTGGGCTATTTTAAAAACGGGAAACTTACTATTTCTGATAAGCTAAGAGGTTGCAGGGGTTTTAAAATCTGAAGGATTCACTAAGGGACCTTCAGGTGCTGTTAATTTTTTTAAATGTAGTTTGCGGAGTATGTTTTCTGTATGTTGTGCCTCTTGTTCTTCATCTAGTTCATCGAGGGCTGCATCACCTGCTTTTTCCAAGAAATCGGGAATACTATAGCATTCTGATTTTTCTCCCTTCACCCCTTCCATGTTTCTTGTTTGACATCATTAAGCCATATAGTTGTACAACATTTTTCATATGGTTTCCTGGAATGAGATATCAAACCCCCTTTGGCAAAGGTGTTGATGCCTCACTTGTTCTGGAGGCTTGTGATGATGTTGACCAAGTTTGGTATTGGCAGTAGTAGAGAAAAGCAGCCATGTTCAAAATGTCAGGCTCTTAGGCTATAAGAGAGGAGGTTTGTCGGGATTGGCATAACAAAAGATGTCCATTTATGGTGATGTTTTTTTAAATATATTTCTAATGCTCTTATTTTTAGAAGTGCACTGCTTCTAAGAATAAAATATTTATATGTGGTATATCATTGGAGTCTTGGAATTAGCAGCCTTAAATGCAAAATAAAATCCTTGGGTTATATTCATTGTCATAAATAAAGCGCATTAAGGGATGTTTTGGGAAGTTATGCAGTTGTTTCTGTGAGTTTTGTATGGGATGTGGTTTTCTAGCTCTTTGGACACTTTGCCCCCATTGCTCCCAAACAAACCAAGTGTGCACTACCAGCAGACTTCTTTTCCTGTCAGGAAATAATCGGTTTATCATGAGAAGCTAAAGGTGCTGTAGGAAAGGCTCTTTTCAGTTCACAGCATCATCTTTTTGTCTGATCGACAAAAACAGCATCCACAGAAATAAACAAATCACACCAAAACGGCTTAGAATCCTGCTCGGGAATGATGAGGTTTCCCTGTCTAAGGTTAGAATCATGTGTTGATTACAGTCCATCATCGCGTTAAACTCTGAATCTTTTTACACAGCCATGCCATGCACACTGCAATTAACAGTTACAACAGCATTCATCCAGTGGAACCTGACAGACTGTAGACCTTGTTGCTGTTAAAACTTTTTTTCTGTCAGATGTTCAGTAGCAACGGAAAATCATTCTTAAAAAAAAAATAGCTGATCGTATTCATCTTAAAAGCTTGTGGAATAAAGCCCAGCTCGTTGTCAACTAGTTTTGACTTTCCTGTTACATTGTGTTTATAGTGTTCAGGCTCAGTTATTGTTGCCAGTTTTTCCGGGGGATGTTATGTACTCAGGACACGACGGCTATTCCTGCCTCATTGTGGTCCTGAGAAGACCTGTATGTACTGTAGTAGCTCTAGAAGTTTGTCTCGTTAAAGGTCCGTGTAGAGGTTTTGAATGGATCGCCCCAAGGTCCAGCATGTTTGGATGTGTGCTATACAGGTCCATTTCCATAGTTTCCCTCAGGTGTCACGGAGGAGCTGAATAAACAGAACTGTTATTCAAGTACTAAGTCTATTAAAAATATGCGTGGAATGTCTGATGTGCTTTTACAGGCTGATGGACTACAGAATTTCATTAATCTTTTTCGTGATGTCTTAAACATATTGTACGTGGGGCAAATATGCATTATTCTTAAAGGGCATGACTTATATACTCTAAACAATGGGTCTTCAACCCTGGTCCTGAGGAGCCCCAGCAGGTTCTTCTAGGTTCCAGCTTTTAAATCCATTTCCAGGAGGCCTGGGATTTTCACAACATTAATTGAGCAGGTGGTATGTTCGGTTAAGTAGGGATCTCAAGGACCAGTGAATCCTTGACCGAACCATTATGCGCTGAATCTAAGGTGTTCTGAAACAGGTGTTCCTGGTCTTTGGATAACAGGAGATTTAGTAAGAACCTGTAAGAAGATCGACTGGGCCTCTCCAGAGCCCGGAGTAGTCCCCAACTCTGAATTGTGGGAACTACCACTGTTTTGCAGGAGGAGTTTGGGGGAAAAAAATCTGTTCTGGGGGGGTAGAGAGTGTGCAGTCTAGCTTTTTTTAACCTGAAATTTATGTGCTGGCAGTTTTCAGATCACAACTGTTTCCTTACAGGTTGGGTGAAATAAAATATTTTGTTTAACCGATTCTGGTGATGTTCCATTTGACCAAGTCAGATAATTTGTCTCATTACACAAGTGGCCGGCTGCTTTTAAGTAGGCCGTTCTTTTCTTCAGGTCTCCTTGAGATATTGCCCAAATGATGGTTTCTTACAGATTGCTTCTTTTAAACAAAATAAACTATTTTGCTTTGTCACTTTAACCAAAACACCAAATTCTGAAATCTCAACAATATTTGTTTATCGTGGTAGCAGTAAATTTCATAGGAGATGATAGGAGTGATTTTCCTGGTCTCTAGTTCCGGATGGGACTGATGGCTTATTCAACTGCAGAAAACGAGGCCTCGTCCCCATGAATTCCACTACCTCTCCCTCTTTTCTTTGGCTTCATTTCTATGTGAATCTTAAAATTGTGCTCTTTGGCTAAAATTAAGTGTAAGAAGGGACCAAAAATGTCAGGCTGTTTTGGAATTTTGTGGGTGGGTAGGGTGTTTTCTTAAAGGGGAACTGCAATGTTATTTTTATATTTTGGGGTTAGAAAGACTCAGCATTGGTGAATCTTTTCACACCACAATGAAACTAAAATGCACACAGTGATGTGTAAAACCTCCAATTTACATCATAAAATAATTTACAGGCATGCGCAGCACCATATTCTGCGATTCAGAATGAGGCAAAAATACTTCTGGTGACGTGTTGGGCTCTATTACAGTGTAAAGAAGCAGGCTTGTGAATACATCTCTTTTGATCCAATAGAAATATTGCTCTCGATTCTTTGACGGTTTTGCAGACAAGTACTTGTTAACTCTACATGCAGATCACATTGGAACGTTTCTGCGGTGAAATTTCTGCTGTACAATCACAGTACATCAGTCATCAGTGACTAGTGAGCAGGAAGGGCCGCTTCATGTCACAATTCTCGTGAGCTCTGCTCTCATCGTGGCGAGACCAGGGGTTTGTGACAACAATGCCAGTGATGCACTACTTTCACTAAATTCACAACTTTGCGCTTAATTTGTAAAATTTTGTGATAACTTAAATTAATTTGTTTTGCTAACAAAGATTTTAAAAACCGGTCTGAGAAATTGAGACTGCAGTTCCCCTTTAAAATTCTTACTCTTACACACAGCTTTTATGTGAATAGGGGCAGAAATAAAATGTTTCCAAGGTTTGTTTTTGTGAAAAACTTCTGCTATGTCATGTTTTAATTTGCTCTGTTTAATTCATCGCCAGTCATAATCTGGAACTTCATACATTTAAAAAGGGACCCTGTACCTTGTGTTTCATGAAAAACTTTGGCTTCTCAAAAGTCAGCTTTGAATGTGTATTTGTGGGTAAGTCCAGCAAACACCCGGCGCCTGTATACAATTTGCTTCTAAAAACTTATCTCCAGAGCAAAACCTTGTTTTCTTGTCCTGTAGCTGCCTGAATGTATTTTAATGTGTTTTGGCATGTAAGCGTTTAAATGGGTGAATTCAGTGGAAGTGTGGGCTTTGGTTTCGAGTCTGAGTGTTTTTTTCTAAACTCCTTGGGCTTCTCTTAAGCATCTTTGTGTGACCTCTCAGCTTGGAAAATCTGTTCTTCTGTCCTGAAAACATTATTCATTATTGCAAGATAAGACACAACTCTTCAAGTTACCCTGCTTTGCATTTGCTTTAGTTTGCTGTATCTGGTGTGTGTATATATAAAATATATTTTCTATATATATATAAAACCTCTTCTCGTTCCTGCTGCCCTGTAAAAGCTGGGGGTGATGTGTACAGGTGTACTCTGTGGCCTTACGTGTGTATATACTGCACCTTCCTTAAGTCACATTTCACCCTTGTTTTCATAATTTCACTGCTTTTTGAGTCAAAGGGTCATGTGCGAAGCAGCAGAATACACAAGGGAAAAGTAATTGTTCAATTTAATACTTCAGGTATTGACAACAGCCAACTTCAGACCTAACCCTGTCACACACAAAATGAATGAACTATTTTAAATAAATGAGAAACTTCAAACCAAAAAAAAGCTATAGATGATTTGGGGTTTGTGTCTTTCTATGTACATTTTTAAAGCCCTGTTATAGCCATTAGTCAGGTAAAAGAGTCGGAGTAATGAAGAGACGGATGTACTTTTCTTGAGGAAGCTGTAAAAAATATACTATCCATTTACAGCTAATAAATTATTCTACATGATATCATGCCCTTCGTTATAAGCTGTTATCATTAAGCATGAGAAAACTGGTGTATTCTGCCTCTGCCCTGCCTGCTCCTCAGTGCGACACTTTCACAAGCCCCAGCCTGCTCTCCCAGCCCACTGCTGCACTGCCTCAGGAGAGGTCTGTCTTGTTTATACATCACTGTGATAAAATGAAGATAGCCCACACGTTTGTTTTTGATAGTCTTCTTTGACATGACCCAAGTCCAAGCAAGCAGGGGACTGAGAGGTCAAAGCCCTCTCGCTCTGTCTCTCCTGTGCTGCTGAGAAGTGCTGTGGTTTTACTGGCGGAGAGGGAGTCTCTCCCTGCAGGTCTGCGATGGCCTCTGCAGCTCCCCAACAGGTGCAGGAGGGGTTGATGGGGGGGGTATTTTCTCTCGTCCTGGTCTGCAGAAGTTTGTCATTGAGAAAAAAAAATTCAGAGGCATTAAATACCCAGTAATTCCTCCTGTATTTGTCCTCACTGTGCAGGATAATAATAGTCAACACATACTGTTCCTGTGCTTTACTTCATTGCTTTTCAGCTGGAGTTTTACTGAAGCACTTCCAGGTTCCTCCCCTGCGCGGAGGAGCAGTCTGAGGCTCGGGGAGGCCTGTGTGCTGGGAGCCCTGTAGCCGTAACCAGGCGGCTCCAGCAGTGGGAGACGAGCTGTACTCACAGGAGAGCAGAGACTGGGAGCCAAAGGCCTCCTGATAGGCTGTAGCTGCCGTGGGCGGGGCCTGGGCTCTGCTGCTCTGGCGGGCCAGGAGGAGGCGCTGTAGGGTCCACTGGTCGAAGCTCCTCTCTGGGCTGCGGTCTCCTGCAGGAGGCTGGGGCAGGGTGGTGTAGTCGGGGCGGGAAGGTTGAAATCTGCCCCAGTGGGACACAGTGAGCATAGATCAGACCTGCACAGGTCCAGGCAGCCAGTACGACCATACAACAATTAACATTCAGTTTCACACACAGACTTGGTCGTCTCTTATTTTGTCACATCCAGGTTTCAAAATCAATGCTCTTTAAAACTTTACAGGCGAAGTCTGTACCAAATTTAATTTTTTTTTTTTTAAAAAGGGCACTGTGGCTCAGGATCTGCGCCTGTGGGTGGAAGGTTGCCGATTCAAGTCCCGCTGGCAGAGGAATCCTACTCCGTTGGGCCTCCAAGGAAGGCCCTGAACCCCAACTGCTCCAGGGGCGCCATATAAATGGCTGACCCTGCGCTCTGACCCCCAACTTCTCTCTCCTCGTCTGTGTGCCTGTGTGTCTCATGGAGAGCAAGTTGGGGTATGTGAAAAGACAAATTCCTAATGCAAGAAACTGTATATGGCCAATAAAGTGAACTTAAATTAGCTGCCGAACAAACATTTACAAAGGAGCCTGGAGAAAGGTTGACTCCATGCAGAAGAGCCAGACTGGTATTGTGGCTGTGGAGGCTCTTCAGCTGTGCAGAGCGATGAGGGAGAGGAGGAGAAAGAGTGCAGTGGAGAGCTTGCACAGTAAGGGTCTGAGCAACCGAGATGGCTGAAGAATTACTTCTACTGAAAACGTTCCTTCCTTAGACGGTATATGCACTGTTTCTTCTGTAGTCTTGGTGTGAAGAACATTTAGCATCACTGAGCTCACAAGTGAATTGTTGAAGGGGTGAGAGGTTCACCAGCAGGGCTCCTGTGTGGAGATTTTGGTCTTATGAAGCACGTGGGGACAGAGCAGAGTGCGACTCTGAGAGGGACCTGTTGTTTGCGTGGTGTATGTAGATGATGATTGTTGTGTTAGTTACCTGTGTTTGCAAGAGGCTTCAGTGTGGACCCGTCCCAGCTGCCCTGGATACAGCCCACCCACGTCTCTCCCACGTCGGCCAGCTCTGCGGAACAAGTTAACTGCTAAAAACGCAGCGGTGGGACAGTTGAGTGATGAGATCTTGCCTGTCCACTGTTAGAACGCTGCCCCCTGCTGTCCAGAGCAGTGCATGGCAGGTGTGCATGTGAGCAGTACCTACTGTCTGCAAAGCATCTCTCTGTAAACAAGAGGTCCTGCAGCCAATCTTTAGCACATACAGATACAGCGGACTTTCTTACCAAAAATGTACATAATGTTGTCATATTAAAAATAAATTCTTCAAAGTGAGCTGGAACATTGTACACAAAACAGCAGTAAACAGGTGGCCTTGTGCAGCAGGCAGTACCCACTGTAGAAAGTCATGCATGAGGCTGATATCAATATCATGGAAGTAATGCAGAGCAGTGTGCAATCCCACAATTCCCTGGTAGCTCTTGTGCACTTCAGGCTTCCTGCTGTAGCCGTTCAAGCTACAGTCTGAATTGCTAAAGCCCATAGGAGAGATGAGAACCCAGTTCAGCAGATATTTAGTAGATGCTTTATTGATCCCCTGAGGGAAATTGCAGATAGTTTATAATATGTATAATGTTAAGTTTAATTATAATAACAGAAGTGCACAAACCAAAGTATTCATGTACTTGGAACTGTAAAAGAACCTGGAAGTCCAGCCTACCCTGCTGAAGGTGCAGCAGGTCCCAGAGGAAGCACACAGCTTGGGAAGGTTCCTGCCAGCCGTGGTCCGGACATGACCGACAGGCAAGATCAGGATCGACAATCGCTCTGCTGGAATGAATCCTCTTCGATCCTGAGATCCTGCTTCGGATCTCTACCTGATGAGACCGCACAGGCGCACGACCAGACGGGCTTCAAGTAGCAGCTGATGTTTTCCTTGAGGGGGGGATAATAGGATCTTTGCCACAACAGTCAGAATAAATACGATTCCATCACTTGAGCTCAGAAGATGGCTGCCAGCTGTATGAAGCCATCTCCTGTTTGTCTAGGAATGGCGCTGTGGCTGGAGAGGGGTTTGGACAGCGACTCTGGGACGCGCATACATGGGCTGTGAACACAGAGCTACCCAGAACCCAGCACACAAGCACAGGGCACACTGGTTGGTAAAGAACAGGGGGAAATGTGGCCAGGATGCTGGGATAGCACCCCTACTCTTATGGAGAAACACCTCATCCAGCAACTGGATGACTTTCCATGTTTGCCTTTCTAAAAACTTACTGTTTTCTTTAAGAGTTTGTGGCTGCCTGCAGTCTACAGGTTGTGTCAGAATTAAAAGGACATACAGTATTGATAACAAAAGAAGCGTTTTAAACAACTTTTTATAGATGCGAGGTCATCAGTAGTTCGAATCACCACTAGGCTACACAGAAAGTGCAGGCATGAGATAACGATTATAATGATTTTGAGATTATCCCGGTGCTATAAAAGATGTATAAAAACAGCTTCACACCCCGCTACTGAATTCAATTAAACTCGTGACCCGTGAGCTGCAAGCAGACTCTGATGTCTTCTAATGTTCCTGAGTGGAGCGGTGCTATTTACAGGTGTATCAAGCAATTTTGACTCCAAACAAAGGTATAAAATATACCAATGTAAGAAAGGGTACATGGAACTGGAGACCATTCGGTACGTTCCACCTACTTGTTTGCTAGTAGATCATTGATTCATATCGAAGGAAGAGCCTGATCGATCGCTTTCACCGCCTCCTGCTCGCCTTGTGCTCCGGTGCCAGTGAGAACCTGTGACTCAGCACTTCTGCTGCCTCGGTTTCGGCGAAAAAGCAACCCGATCTGCTGCCTCAGTGGGTCACCTCCCCGGGGACGGGCTGGCAGCGGGTTATTGTCGGTGTTAGACGGCTGTTCTGTCCAAAGCCGTGAAGAAAGCTTCCGATCTGCGCATCTATAGATGATCAAATCATTTTTACTGGTCACCCAACATGCACTGATCCACAGATCTTTACGGACGTATAATAGAGCATCAAAACACGCACAAACATACAGTCATTTAGGTTGTTCTAGCAAAACTATAGTAGTTCAGGTGGGGAGCTGCGTCAGCATGCGTAGGCTGCAAAGGAACAAGTAAAGGTTTATTCCCTGCTGAAAAGAGAAGAAAGGAAGCACGACGTTTCGGCTGTGAAACCTTCTTCCTCACACCTGAAGAAGGCTCCACGGACGAAACGTTGTGTTTTCTTATTTTTTTCAGCATGGAATAAACCTTTACTCGTTCCTAGTAAAACTATGTTCAGTTGAGGTTAAACAATTCTGGTTCCTTACTACAATTCGCTAGTGACGACAGCTCGCAAGGACTGAATGCTTTGTGAAGGTTTTAAATACCGGGTGAGAAAAGATTGGCTCAGCCCGCCTGGTTAACGGGCAGCCTCCTGGCTACAGGACGAGGAGGCCTGATCCCCATTCAGACTCGGTGAGCCGGGGGACAGCTGCACGGGGAGATGGGCTGGAGGAGGGATGTGAAGGGAGGCGTTTGAGCTCAGTTTATGCAGCGAGTCTCGGATTGGAGATGATCAGGCTCAGCTGTGCTAAATTGACTTGTTATCCCTCCCGAACGTCAGTTAATAACTTACATATATTAGTTCAGCTTTGAAAGGCAGTTTGATCTATTATCTGTAAAACAGCCGCCTACACGTAGAGTCCGTTTCTGACGTTAGCACAGAATTCCTAGTTTTAATGGACATTCTCCTGAATTCAGCAGTACAGTTGTAATAATTCTTTGTGCTTGGCGCTTTTCTGGACACTCCACTCAAAGCGCTTTACAGGTAATGGGGATCCCCTCCACCACCACCAGTGTGCAGCCCCACCTGGATGATGCGTCAGTCGCTCCCCACACACCAGCTCTCAGTGGGGAGGAGAGCCGAGTAATGAAGCCAGTTCAGAGATGGAGATTATTAGGAGGCCATGATTGATAAGGGTCAATGGCCCCTACTCTTTTCGAGAAACGCCCTGGGATTTTTAATGACCACAGAGAGTCAGGACCTCGCTTTTACTGTACGTCTCTTCCGAAGGACAGCGCCTGTTTATAGTATAGTGTCCCCATCACTATACTGGGGCATAAGGACCCACATGGACCGCAGGGTGAGCGCCTCCCACTAACACCTCTTCCAGCGGCAACTAGTTTTTCCCAGGAGGTCTCCCAACCAGGTACTGATCAGGGTCACACCTGCTGAGCTTCAGTGGGCTGCCAGTTGTGAGTTGCTGGGTTCTTTAACTGTCGGTGAGGTTATTGATGAGGTTGCTTAAAAAGATAATCAAATTATTTTATATGTGGGTGTTTGTGTCTTCTTAGTTTTTTAATTCATTTTAAAATTTAAATGAATACCCGTTTCCCATCCTAGGTTCACTTCACAGATAAAAAACTAAATAAAATCCAATTTCTTTCGCTGGTGACAATTTGTACATTTAAACACTAGAGGGAGCCATCTTACTGTAAATAACGATCTGCTCTCCATTAGAAAGCGCTCTGTTCCGTAGCTATTCATGTTTCTGGGGTAGAAAAAAAACTGATCTTGGTTTATGTTCCTAATGTTTTTGTGGACGTTCTTAGAACAGGTCTTATAAATCCAAAGTAATGTTCTGTTGTTTATTTGTTACATTTGTACTACATAGCAAAATAATCTGATTTATGACCGGGAGAAATTTGTGACACAAACCAGCCTGAGATGCATTAGTATTTAAGTAATACATAAAAAGGTGTAAAAGCACATTCCAATGCTAGCAGATGTGTTGCCTCAGTGTACAGACACAGGAATAGAACTGCTCACTGCAATACCCGCACAGAGAGCGTGGCTCAGAAAGGAGAGACTGGAATTCAGGTCTGAATCCAGAGGTGGGCTGGTCCAGTGCGTCCTGCTGGGAAAGGGGCAGTGGTGATTCAGAAAAAGACACCCGATGCTGTGTTTCTCAGCCTTGCACGTACGAGCTACAATGTGGTTGCAGGAGGAGCAAAAACAAGGACATGATCAGGAAAAAGTGGGAGTCTGGAGACACTACAAAGGGAACTGTGTGAAGAGTGAGGCAGGTGTTTCTAAGAAAAGGACTGAAACTGTGATGATGATACTACTGCCGTGAAACTCGGTATCTGTTTTTCAGCAATGCATCGAGCTCTGACATTAATCCCCTGTGCAGTGGAGGCCAGAGCTGAGACCCTCTGGCCCAGAGCAGTGGCTCGGCTGCAGGTGAGAACTCAGCCAGACTCTCCGCCCCCTTATTTTCATCAAAAAGCAAAGCCTGTCTTGTGCATTTGACTAAATAAAAATAAAAAAACAAATTTCAGAGATAACACGGCATCCGGACTAAATGGAACAAAGGGCGTCATTCATTCCAAGATCTGATTACAGATTGCAGAAGGACAGGAATGAGACCACAGTAAAAATATTCGTAAAACCTTTATGTGACACCTCGACGTCCCCTGCTCAGGATGTGGACATAGCAGAGCAGAGCTTTCACATAATCCACTCAAGACTCGTGGGTTTTATGCTTTCTTTCCATTTATCTTTAAATATAAGGCTTTCATGAAGCAGATTTCAGATATTCTTTCTTCTATTGATGCCTTCGCTCATCAGTGAAATAGCCAAGCAGCTGTAACAGTTCTGCAGTGCAGTGGACTGGGAGGTGCAGGGGTCTGGCTGTGAGGTGTGTTTCCCACAAAGCTGTGCAGGGCTGCAGACAGCTCTCAGGCTGTACTGGTTTCAGCAGCCCTGCCTGCACTGAGAAGCTGATGGAAAGTGTGACCTTAATTAGTGGCATCTGAAATGAGAGCCTTCCTGACGGTCTGGAAGTGCCGACCTTCACTAAACCTGAACTGTTGTACAGGATCACGGAGGCCTCATAGCTCCAGGGTCCCAAGATGTATTCCATCTGTGTGGAGTTTGTATGTTTTCCTCATATGTGTGTGGGTCTTGTCTCTAGACCCCAGTTTCCTAAAGACAAGTCGGCCAGTGTGGACTGGCTGCTCTAAATTGTGCTTTTCACTGAAGCTCTGTGATGGATTGATGTCCCATCCAGGGGTAGAGTCCCACCCTGAGCCCTGAGCTCCTGGGATGGGCTGTGTCTGCCCTAGGCTCTTATCCAGGGATCGGCTTCCTGGAATGGAACTATCACACTTGCATGATTGCTAGTGTAGGCCGCAGGTCCAATGAGTTATTAGAAAACAAAGTAAATAATGTTGCATTTGTTTATGTCATTATTATCAGGATATGGAACATGAATGCAGAGCTCCACTCTCCAGGACTCCTCTTCTGTAGCTTTTCCATTTCCTTCTTCGAGTCCCATGCTAAGACTCCAGTGACAGCCAAGTGATTAGCAATCTCTCCCAGAACAATTTCGATTCTGTGTCAGGGGTGGGAAAAAAACCTACAGTGGATTACTACAGTTAAGTGAGGAAAAACCCTTGTTTTAGCATCAAGGTGTGTATTAGTTTAATAAGTAACAGGGTTAATGAGCTCACAGTATTTACATACAACAGTGTCAAGAGGAACTAAAATAATGGCCGTTTTGGACAAACAAAGCTTCTGTACAGACATACAGGTAGTGCACCCTGTTGAAGCGATCACCATAGACCTCACTGCAGCTGCTGTGAAATATACCTCTAAGCACACTACACACTTTACCTGATTTACGGCTTTTGTAGTGTCTAAGGTAAAAGCCATAATTCACCCTTATAATAACCACACCCCCTGAAGTTAGTGCCTTATATAGTGATTTACTCGGTGGGCACTCCTGGTTAGAGATACCATCATTAGATTAGTACTCAAGAAAATGAAGAGGACCCTGGAGTAACTCTCTCCTTGGTGGTCTCATGATGAAGTCCTATTCAACAGAACTTCCTCTTATTATTAGTCATTGTTATTTATTCAGCACTTTACAATACTCTACCAAGGGAAGATAATCCCAGACAACCTCCCCACGCTGTCCTGGAATGTGTTGAAACAGAAGGAAATGGATAAGCGTCCATGAGGAGAGAACAGCGAGCCGGGGCCTCTGCGCTCTGAACGCGCTGGCCAGTCCCGCCGGACTCCTCCCAGATCCAGCTGGGACAGCAGCTTCGGAATCCACAGCCTCTTCCGATCCCGCCGGCCAGGATTTGCCTGTGCCCGAGCTCGTATTCCGGTGTGGTTCATTTCTCTAACCGCACATTTGAATCCTGCTGTGTTTAACCGGCGCTCATTGTTTTCCAGCTACTGCTCCATTGTCGCAAAGACCACAGGAAAACAACACGAAACCACTCGAGCCCCAGAGCCGGAGTCCGCCCACCCGCCCCGAGGAAGGGTCTGCCGAGGCCAGCTCGCGTCCCAGCTCCTCGTTTACCCCCGGAAGACTGGTGTGGTGACACGTCAGAGCCACACGGCCTTCGACACGCCGGCCTGTCTCGGAAAAAAAGGCAATGTCTGAATTCCTCATTCTTATTGTCCGGTTGTGGTATCATTGATCACCAGAGCTATAATAATAATAATTAATAATAATAATGCTCAGATAGTGGGTGCAGAAATGATGCGCCTCAGGCAACGTGGAGGCTGTAGCTGCCTTCCAGCAGGTATGACACTTATTAAAATTCCCCTGCAGGAACAAGGATAATGATTTTAAAATAAAGTGATACCAGATGTTTTCATCAAGAATATTAAAATGGTTTGTGAGCTATCTTCCCCTTTTAGGTATGATTTTTGGACACCTGTATTAATATTCCACTACTCTTCTTAGTACACTGTTCCTTCTGCGGAGCAAAACAAGGAAATGAATTCATTACAAATCGGTTTCATTTCTCCACCTTCCCCTGACGGAATATAATAAGAGGAACGAGTGTTTAATAAACTCAGAGTATCCACAAAGCACAGCTCCCACCCGCCCTGCTATTTGCAGTAAGTGTGCAGTCCTGGCAGCTTTACTGTGAACTGATTCAGAAACAGTGTTTCTTTTTATTTCTCTGAATAACTGTTTCGATGCGAGGGCGCCGATTTAACTGGCAGCATGGTTAAAAATCTCGGTGTGTTTTTCTGTGGGCTTCACCCGTCCTGCACCAGGAGACGCCGTGGCGTGAGACAGACGCTGCCGAGGCCGCACAGATGTCCCCTCTGACGGCGCACAAAGAGTCCAGTCTGGCTCGGCGCGGGCCTGTGTGGTCCGGGCGGCACACGTGCTCGGGCAGCCGCCTGGTAACCCCCTTGTCCGACCAGATGTTGTTGCTGCTGTGGCGGCTGTTGCGGTCGCCTCCTCTGTCCTGAGAAAGAGAGCAGCTGCTGCACCAGGCGAGGCCTGGCTGATCCCTGACCTGCCCTTCTGCGAGCCCCCCGGGAGGGAGGGCGGAGGGGCAGCAGCTGTGGAGCTGACAGTAGGGGGGGCGAGGACAGGGAGGTGGAGGGCCAGTCTGACGTCTCTGGAGACGGCGGTGGGGGGACGCAGCAGTCTTCCCCAGGCTGACCTGAAGCAGTGCTTTCCCTT